GTCCCTAAACAGCAAGCCCGTAAGATGCAGGATCTTCTGGATCAGAAAGCTAGGAACCAGCCTTGCAGGCTCGTTTTCGCTTAGAGGCTGCCTCCGCAAATACTGTTCTCCCCCCCCCCACGTCATCCATTCACGCAAGCAACTGTGATGACGAGGGTCCCTGCGCACAGCACTGCCTGCAGGGCAGAACTCAAAAGGAGACGGCATCAACCCGTTAAACAAAGCCGGTTTTTGATCAGAACCAGGTCACACGGCCCCAGCCTTTTGAAAAAGCCAGCAGGGGCTTGCAGAACCAAGCTGTGGCTTCTTTGCAGCAAGGTTTAATGAGATGGGATTGAAAAAGCCGGGAACGGCAGCAATGCAACCACAGCTGCGCTTCAGGATAGGCAGTTAAGCACAATGAACAAAGGACACAGGCGTACCACAAGCGTGGGCCGGGATGCGCATTGTGTGTGGCTAAATTTATGAGGGTGCAGGGGCCTCTTAAACTTCACCATAGTGTGTTCCCAGCTCAGAGAAAACAACCTCTGGTGTTGCCCAAATAAAACACTAAGGAACAGCGAAACAAGATGACAGATAGCTAATCTGACAGTTGTCCTCAGAACAGGTTCCCATGACTAAAGGCTTAAAAGGAAAAGTGCCTGCTGCCCATGCAGAGGACACCAGGCTCAACTCTCAGTGTATCCTCTGGCCTGCATTAGCCCTCCAGAGTCTCAGGCAGATAGGCAACACAGGGCAAGATGAGCCAAGGGCACACACGAACACCTGTGAAGATGCCTTATACTGAATCAGACCCTTGGTCCATCACCGTCCGTATTATCTACTCAGACTGTCAACACCTCTCCAGGGTCTTATGCTTAGGAGCTGCCTGTCTTCCACATCACCTACTGCTAGATTCTTTTAAACTGGAGATAGGAGGGGTTGAATCCAGGACCTTCTGCATGCTGAGCAGATGCTGGACCACTGAGCCATAGCCCTCACTCAGTGTGGAGTAGTGGTTATAGCGTCAGGCTAGGACCTGGAGACCCAGGTTCAAATTACCGCTCTACTACGGAGGTTTGCTAGGTGACCTTGAGCCAGTCACAGAGATCCAGCCTACCTGGCCTCACGGCACTACTGGGAAGATAAAATGGAGAGGGGGAGAATGTTATCAGCCACTTTGGGTCCCCGCTGGGGAGAAATCCAGGATACAAATGAAGCAAACAGATTTATTGTATTCTGTACTTACCTTATGAATTAACTTAAAAAATGGTCCCCAAAGCACCTTACAGTTCAAAATACTAAACCCAAATGTGAGTGAGGTCTTAGTCCATGCATGATGGAAGAAGAGAAGAAGAGATTGGATTTATACCCCGCCCTTCACTACCCAAAGGAGTCTCAGAGCGGCTTACAAACTCCTCTCCCTTCCCCTCCGCACAACAGACACCCTGTGAGGGGGGGGGGGCTGAGAGAGCTCTGCCAGAAACTGCTCTTTTTCAAGGACAGCTCTGACAGAACTATGGCTTGCCCAAGGTCATCCAGCCAGGTGCAAGTGGAGGACTGTGGGGAATCAAACCCGGTTCTCCCAGATCAGAGTCCGCGCACTTGACCACTACACCAAACAGGAACAATGCCTGGCTACTGCTTCTCTTCCTTCTGTCCTTGCAGCTGAAACTGGGAGGAGGGGGCAGGAGTCTCGGCTGCAGCTGGATCCAAGCACAGCAAAGGGGTGCCTGGCTGCCCTCTGATGGCCACACTAATGGCACTAGGACCCAGATCCAAGCACGAGGCAAGGGTGCCTGGGGCTGCTGCCTCTTCTCCCTCTGGCATCGGCAATACGCCTGTAAGCAGACCATGAGAAGTTTACTGGGGCATCTTCTATGGGAAATCTCAGGGCACAGAGGAGTGGTGGCTTTTCCAGGGTTATTTAAGCCGCCCCCCCCTCCCCCAGCTCATAGAATGCAGAAGTGAGAGCGACAAGGGGTCATTCCCACCAGTCTGCCAGACAATATGGCTGCCCCCCCCCAATCTTACTTTTATTTGTTTGCTTTACTTGTACTCCACCCTTTCTCCCCAGTGGGGACCCCAAAGTGCCCTCTCCACCTTTTTATCCTTACAATGACCCTGTGAGGTAGATTAGGCTGTGAGGTAGGTTAGGCAGCATGACTGGCCCACGGTCACCCAGCGAGCTTCCGCGGCAGCGGGGATTTGAACCAGGATCTCCCTGAACCTAGTCCGACATTTCAACCGCTACACCACGCCGGCTTTCCATAAAGCACTCCGTCTCCCCTGCCTGGAGCCCTGCAGCCTCCTTATTACTTGATGCTTCCCCCAATCCCTGCCTGCCAGTCTAGTCCTGGCTTCATCTCCTACCAGGGCCTTGAACTACGAGTTTATCACTTCCCTAGTTAAGTGTCGTCTTTGGCCTCCATCCAGACAAGATTTATTCCTGGCCTGGGCCCCAAAAGGGACTTCTCTCTCGTCATTAGATGTAAACTGACCCCGGCTGCCTCACCCCAGACTGCTTCTGCTATTCAACACAGAGCAGGGAAAGGAAAGTGGGGATGATGCAGGCGCTTGTGGAACACAGACTGGGGAGGGACCACCCAGAACTCATTCCCAAGTTTATGTAGCTCTTGGCCTGTGGTCAAATAAATTAGTGGCAGTGCCGCCAGCCATGCTAACGCACTCAGAAGCCCCTATACCAGTGGTGGTGAATCTATGGCATGCCTGCCAGAGGCAGCACTCAGAGCCCTCTCTGTGGGCATGCGTGCCATCGCCCCAGCCAGGCCCAGACCATCATTAAAGTGTCGAATTCTCTGCCAAATAATTTTAAGTAAATGAAAGCATTTGGGATTGCTTTCCTTACTTTGTTTGGATCAACTTAAGTTAATGTATGAGTTGTTTTTTCTAAAGTAAGAACCTCAGTATTCGGGTTACATTGCCGTGTTGGCACTTTGCGATAAATAAGGGGGTTTTGGGTCGCAGTTTGGGCACTCGGTCTCTAAAAGGTTCGCCATCACTGCCCTATACCATCTTGTCTGCAGGGTACACAGAGTGTCTGCTGGTCTACTTTAAAAACCACAAAAACCTTAGAATCATAGAATCACAGAGTTGGAAGGGGCCCTACAGGCCATCCACCCCCCTGCTCAATGCAAGATCAGCCTAGAGTATCCCTGACAAGTGTTTATCCAGCTGCTGCTTAAAGACTGCCAGTGAGGGGGAGCTCACCATCTACCTGGGCAGCTGATTCCACTGTTGCACACCTCTGACTGTAAAAAAGTTTTTCCTAATATCCAGCCGGTACCTTCCTGCCCTTCATTTAAACCCATTATTGTGAGTCCTCCCCTCTGCTGCCAACAGGAACAGCTCCCTGCCCTCCTCTAAGGGACAGCCCCTCAGATATTTCAAGAGAGCAATCATGCCCCCTCCCCACCTCTTCTCCTGTTCTCCAGATTAAACATTCCCAAGTCCCTCAGCCTTTCCTTATAGGGCTTGGTCTCCAGGCCCTTCAGCAGCGCAGATCTTGGGATATTCAACTGACAAAGTTAGCAGATGATTGCACTGCTGCTTGCCAGGCCAATTTCAGCAGCCCAGCAATGCTGCATCAAAAGTGGGTGGGAGAACACCCCCAAGATCAACATGGAAGCCTACATTTTTTTTTAGCGTCCTTGAACATTCAGACACTTGGCGGGCATTTGTGACTACTCGATGGGACGTTTGCAAAATCTAAGTCCCAACCCCCCTGTCTGTCCTCCCATCTCTTGAACCACACACTCTACCTTTCCAAATTGGGGTGGGAAGGGAGAGAGTAACCTGTGGCAGGGATGGGTCTCTCCTTGCTCTAAATCATTCTTCACAAGCTTCCACAGTATGATTCCCTGCTGAGGTCGATGGGAATGGCAGTTTTCACAGCATTCAAACCTGAACTTGAAGGTGCAAAAATTTGCAGATCCAACCACAGCAGTTCAGTAAGGTCAAAGCCAATAGGATGGCAACTGCTACCAGCTGTGCAGACTGCAGTGCACACGAAAGACTGCTTGTTTTAACTTGCCAGCCAATCAACCCCAGTATATGGGACACTCAAACAAAAAAAACCCCTGACATTGTGAGTAGCGCAAAGTTGGATTTTCAAGCAGGTTACTGGTGAGCACCACAGCATTCATGATATTATTCGGTCTTTTCACCTCTCCAGTAGTGTACTGTTTTATTCTGTGCCTCACAGAGGGAACGAGCCAAGGATGCTGTTTCCTTATCAGTCACAAAAAATGAATTCTTTCCAACTGGGAGGGTTACAGTAGCATTGCCAAAGCTTCGGGTAGCAAAGGAACGTTTATCTGTTGAATTCAAAGTGGTGGAATATTTCACTTTTACAACCCCAAAAAGCGTCAGTGTGTTCTAGAACACCTGCCCATAGAGGAACATGCCTTGTGCTCTTTTGTACATCGCTTGAGAAGAAAGGGGTTAACGCAAAGCATGATGCAACAGAGATGCAACAGGCAGCTTCTTCTGAACACGGGTACTTCGGCTGAGTCTCTGAGCCACAAGCAGCTGAATGTTTCCGTCACCACCTAAAGCACAGAGGGGGCAGAACTGAGCCACCTAGTGCCCCCCCTCCATCAAAGGCTGAGTGAAAGATGGCAAGGAAAGAGCAGGGTATCATGCAGAGACGTAAAAGGCAGTCTCCTCTACCAGTGGATACTTGGGATTCAGAGGAGCCCTTAAAGTTGTGTCATTTATTTCTCATGACAGCTTGAGAACTACTGGGTTAGAGGAAAGAGCAAAGTTAGAAGGGGGAAAAGAGCATCTGAAGAACCTTGGAGGGGCCTAAGAGAAACCAGAGGTTTACATCTTATTGGAAATCAATAATCATTTACATAGCCCTTTAGCATTCAGAGAGTTTCACATACGTTAGCTTGCCTGGAGAGAGCTGACATCTCCCCACCAAACAGAAGGAGCCTCCTGCGTTTCCCTTCTTGCTCCCATCACTCCAAGCACAAGGCAGCCAGCTAAGTCCTTACCGATGGCGCTGAGAGCGTGCTTGAGCTCCAAGGTAAAGGTGGCAAGCGGCACATCTTCTGACACAGGCATGATCGCCACAGTGGAGAGGTTGCTGGCCGGGTTCCCGGAGTCCCACTTGCTGCTGGAAGTGTGCAATCCAAGAGGGTGACCTGCTGCGACAACAGATCATCAGACACTCGCAAGGTGGTCTCTCACTATGGAACAGCAAGGATCAGAGTTGAGTTAAGGACATAAGAGAAGCCATGTTGGATCTGGCCAATGGCCCATCCAGTCGAATGCTCTGTGTCACGCAGTGGGCAAAAACTTCTTCCCAACGTTACAAACTGGCACACAGTGCAGAGGCCTGGGATGAGGAGGGAGCAAAATCAGCATCTCTGTGAGTGTTGGGGGGAAGTGGGCCAAGTTAATTGGGAAGGATTGCCCAGGGGTGTGTGTGTGTGTTCTCCTGCAACTCATAGCCCTAGGCAAACGTAACGAAGATGGAGGATTGGGATTCAGTTGTATTTTATTACTGCCTGGATCAGGCCTTCCTTCCCATCCTTTTGAAGGACGAAAACAAGTTTTGTCTTGTAGGGCTTTCGGTTCAAGTTGGGGGGGCGGGTTGCCACTGTTTAAGGGAAAGCTACTTCCTGTTTGGGTAGACTCCTATGATGGTTGGATTTTGTTATGAGCACACAAGTTAAGGGAAGGTTAATTCTTTTATTCTTCATTTTGACCTCTACCAGATTAGTGTCTTTCCCACTGGACACTGAGGATGATTGATGATTGCCCTTTTTATTTCTTGAATTCTATGATTGTTTTTTGCAATTTTATACATAGATGGTTGTAAGCCTCCTTGTGAGTACTTTGTGTTGAAAAGCAGGATATAAATCTTTTCACAGCCAAATAAGTGCTGCATTTCCCAAACAATATTCTTTACATTAAATATGAAGCACTGGATACAGAAGCCTAAGAGAGATGGCAGGCACAATGCCAGCTTCGTGAAAAACTGTTTTGGGCTTCAGGTGCAGTGCATGTGTGTGCATATGTGTCAACCAACCATGGCGTTTAGCATTACTGACATCAACCATGGCCTTGTCTCATTCAACACTTAAGCAAGAGTGACTAAACCGGTTTTCAACCCTGTTCGGTGGCCCTGTGAGGACAAGGGTCTGCTGCCCATGCTGCTTTTGACCTCAGACAGGAAATACTTCTTTACTCAGCAAGTAATTCAATTGTGGAATTTGCTGCCAGGGGCCATGAGTATACATGGTTTTAAAAGGGGATTAGACAGATTCGTGGAGATTAGGTCCATCAACAGCTACTAGCCATGGTGAGCAAAACGAACCTCCATATTTAAAGGCAGTAAACCTCTAAAAAGCCAGTGCTAGGAGGCAACAACAGGGAAAGACCTTGGCCTCTAATGCCCTGTTTGTTGGCCCCCTGGAACTAACTAGTTGGATGCTGTGAAAAGCAGGTTGCTGGACCACTGGTCTGATCCAGCAGGGATCTTCTTACAGTTCTCAGGGATTCTGTTTGTCTCACCTACCTAAGCTTTGTTTAGTGGGCTTGGGAACATCCAGGAATGTGAATATTCATTAAATGCAACAGGAACCACAGCTAGGAAGGGTGAATCCAAGCTCCAAGAAAAGGTTCCAGTCAATGAGAACCAATCAGAAATGAACTCAGGAAAACAGTGGTTGATAACAGAACTGCACTGGGCTCCTGTGCCTGGGAGAGCAACACTGCAGCTATGGCCTTAGCTCTTTTCTCAATAGCGGGGCTTCATTAAAATCCCTCCAAGCGGACTTGTACTGCAGCAAAGGATCTGGCCCTGACACGGTTTGTCCAACTCATTTTGCCACGCCTCCTGCCAGGGGCTTGGAATTCAATGACCTACCCCCTTGCTGAAGACTGCCAAGGATCTTCTCGCCCAGCAAATGGATTAGCCTAGTCACCACCTGGCAGGGAGAGAAGAATACAGAAACAGCACAGTCAGGGCAACAGCTCAGAGATGGAAGCATCTTGACAGCAGCATCGAGATTTAGGAGGAGAAATTATAAAATGAGCACGGCCAAGATGTATGAAGAGTTGTGAGCTTTGTGCAGCACAATAGCACCAAGGGAGGCGATCTGTGCCTTAGCAAAAGAATTGCTTTTGAAAAGCTGGGGGGGGGGAGCTTTCTGCCATTTAGGTTCTGTTTTTAACTGAACCTCAGAAGCAAGATCATTGTACCTTTTAGTGGCAAAGTTGCTGGCTGAGTGCCTGCTTGGAAGGCAGAGAAACAGAACATTCAGAGAGAAGTCAGAGATTGATGGATACTCGATCAAGGAGGGTGGGAGAGAGGACTCCCTGGACATACAGGAAAATGTTACCCCTTGTAAATTAAATATTAAGACATACACCTCAGAAAGTGTGACTGATGCACAGCAAATGCTCTCATTGCTCTCCATGAGGCCTGGAATATCAAGGGCAATTGATTAAATGGGCAGCTGTGTTAGCTTGTCTGTAGCGGTAGAAAAGTGCAAGAGTCTCGTGGCATCTTAAAGACAAACAAAATACGTGGCAGGGCATGAGCTTTCATGAGTCACGGCTCACTTTGTCAGATACCAATTGAGGTCAATTGAGTAACAGTTAAAGGGGGGAAAGGGAGAGGGGAGGAGTTTGCCTACTCAAGCCCCAAGGCACGTAGGATACCTTGGAGGAGGAGAGTACATCGGAGGGATGCAGGCCGTGATGTGTACATCCCCTAACTGAAATTCCACCCCCACCCCTCACCAATGCAGGTTTTAAAGAGTCTGACCACTTTGAGACTAAAAGCATCCTGGCAGGGTGATCAATTAGGATTGGAGAGAGTGCTACTTCTGACCTGAATTAACTGCATATACACATTCACCCACTCCAACACACACACAAGATTTTTTTTTTCAAATGCAAATGGGGCACAGCCCCTAATAGTGCATACAATCTTGGAATGGGAAAGGGGAGGGGCACGAATTTAGGGTCAGTGGACAGTGGATACGTGCCTTCTCAGATGGCCATTGCCTCCTGGTTACCTGGCCTTTAAAATGCAAATGGAACTTCTGAACCTTATATAAGAGGACAGATGTGAAAACACCTGGCAAGATTTTATTTGACTGCATATTTTTCTTGGACAGTTTGGGGAGCCATTTACAGGGTGCTGCCATTCATGGGGGATTGGGTCTACCCGGGGCTATCAGCTGCGATGGCAAAATGGAACCGCCATATTCAGAAGCAGTAAGTATCATTCTGCTGGGAGGGGCAGTAGGGAAATCTGACTGCTCAGATTCTCTCAACATTCCATGCCTCTTGGAGGGGGGGGGGGGGAGAAGACCCATCAAGGGCTCTTCTTTTGCTCTTATGCCCTGATGAAAGATGAGGCAGATCAGACAGGACCAGCCCTTAGTTCAAGGTTATCCATGGAGCTACATGGCTGAACAGGGATTTGAATCCAGAGCTCCTTAGTTCAAATTTGAAACGCTATCCCACTACACCACTGGAGAAGCAAAGAGAAACTGAGTAATATTTTCAGCAGTGTGAGATACTCTTCAGAGAGGATAACTGGTGGACTGGTTAAGTGTGTTTGTTTAGGACTGGGGAGACCATGCATTCAAAGTAACCACTTGGCCATTAAAGTCACTGGCTGTCTTTGGCTCAGTCACTGTCAATAACCTACCTCAAAGGTTACTGCTAGGATAGCAATGGTGGTGGGGATGGGGGGGCAGCAGGAACATATATGCTGCTCTGAGCTCCATGGAGGAACATGAGACTTCTGGCACTGCTGATTTTTACTGCTGAAACTTTGATGTTTCACTTTGATCCTCTATAGGTTTGTGACAAAGGATCTCAAAAAATTCTAATTCAAAACAACAAATAAAACATGGAAGTGTGCTTATTTTTATACAGCTCGGGGGATTCAGAAGTTTTTTGTGAGGCAGGATTTCCAGGTGCATGGGGTGGGGCTAAGTGCAAAGAACTCACAGTCCCATTAATTACTTCCTGAACCTCAACATCACAGCGAAAGGAATTTGTAGGTTACTGCCCACAGCCACACTCCTCCCCTTGACTAGTTACTCAAAACGGCCCTGGTTTAACTCTGGAAATGTTGTTTCTCCAGAGGCCCTCTGCGAGAGAGCACACAGCGGGTTGCTTACTGCCACTGGGTGAGTCACTCTGCTGCTACCATGGCAACGCGCAAGGAACATCAATTTCAGATTTGAGCAAAGGCAAGTGGCACGAGATTTCCTTGGAGTTTTCAGCGTGCGGAGTATCTCTCTCATAAAAAGGGCACACAGTGTGTTTTTTTAATATATATATATATATATCTGTACAGAAATACAAAGGAAAGTTTCTGTACCATTCTTCTAAGATGCCAGTGAAAACCTTGAGCCCTGCCGATATTCCCAAACGTACACTCGAGCTCTTCTGATCTCACGAGGATGGCTGGAACGTGTGGCACGAGCGCTTCTCAGCGAAGCAAAAAGCCTCTTTGGGCAAAGCTGCAGGGAAAGTTCTAAAGCTGACTGGGAAAGACAAAAGCCGCAGCCTCCCCAATAGAGATGGCCCTCTGAACTCTGACATGCTGCACAAAGGGGCATTTAGAAACTTCCTTGCCTTTGGCCTCCAATAGCAGCAAGTCAAACGCCTCCCGAAAGCACGCAAGCAGGGCAAGGAAGGCAAATAACCCTCCTGTTTGTCCCCAGAACCTGGGACTCAGAAACAGATTGCCTCTGCACTTGGAGGCTCCATGTAAAACAGAAAGGTTGACAGCCATTCACAGAACTCCCCTCCAAAAACACACACATCTAAACTCTTTTTTTTAAGCCATCAAGCCGCATTCATCCCCAGATCCTGTGGTGGTGAATTCCATAAGTTAAATACGCATTGTTATGAATTAATACTTTGCTTTTGTGTGCTCTAAATTTGCTGCCAGTCTATTTTGCTGGAACTCCCCCCCCCACCCCCAATTCCAGTATTATGGGAGAATCAAGACCTTCCCATCCCCATTCTCTGCTCATCAATGATCATTTTATAAACTTATGCGCCCCCTTTCGTTCTGGACACTTTCACTTTTCTTTGCAGGGAATATGCTCCAACCACCTTCATTGTTGTGGCAGCCCTTTCCCAGCTCTACATTAACTGTGAACGGAACCCGCTTGGTAGCAGTCACTCGGAAGCCGAGCACCCGTTGTCCTGCACATGCTGGCAGCAACAGAGCCCATGCGCAAGAGCAACTGCAGTGTCCGCATCACAAGACCCAGGCAACCTTGCTGCTCCCCAAGGACTCGTTCCCTCGTCAGGGGCACACAGAGCTAATTTACTGCAGGCTCCAGAGATGCCTCTGGATTTATGTGCAGCATCTACATGGATCACAGTGGTTCTCTGAGGTTCATTGCTCAGCTACAAAAACAGGGGTGAAGAGGGGAGGGGCTCATCCACCATGGAGAGAAGCCACTAACTCTGTTATCGCTTTGTACCAGGAACACTTTCCAACCACAAAGAAGAGCTGGACAACAAGCTCGGCACCAATTTGTGCAGGAAAAAACATGACCGATTGGAGAGGCATATGAAGTAATCGAGAGTCTGCGCAATAGCACAGGGATGGAGGTTTATTGAAAACATACCTATTTAATAAATTTCTACACCGTATGTCAAAAGCTAATTTTCGAAGTGGTGTAACAACTTTAAAAAAACAATGCAAATAATAAAGTAGTCAGAGCTAGCGTTAAGACGTAACCCTATGTCCTGGACTGGGAAGAAGGAGTCAAAACAGAGCCTTCCGTCCTTCTGGTGAGCTCATGGCTGAGTATGCAGTTCCCTCAACAACCCTGGGAGGTAGGGTTACTTCTGGCTGAGCTTGACTCAAGTTCATCCCACCGAGTTTCATAGATGACTAAGGATTTGAACCCAACTCTCCCTGGTACAAATCCAGGACTCTAACTACTACACCACAGTGTGGCCCTATTATTTAAGCACTGGTTATGACTGAGATAAGATGACACGGTGACCCCTTAATGACCCATACAGTTATTGCAGCAGAACAGAGGGAAGCTTTGGCTCCTATGCCCCACATGCAGGTTTCCCAGGGCAACTGTGGGAAACAGAGTGCAGCACTGGTTGGACCCTTAGACTGAATTCACAGGGCTCCTCTTACAGTTTTATTTTTTCAGCACATTTTGATAGCCATCCTGAGCCCTCAAGGATGGGACAGGCTTCAGATCAGAGAATAACAATTCCATCTCTAGACCCTTTTTAAGGCCCAGGCTTGAAACTGTGGACTGAAATACAGATTTAACTAAGGTGTCCCTGCTTCATTCTACTGCACACATCCAACCATCTGCCTGCTAGAAATTTCAATTTTCAGTTTGGTGCAGTGGTTAAGTGTGCGGACTCTGATCTGGGAAAACTGGGTTTGATTCCCCACTCCTCCACTTGCACCTGCTGATGTGACCTTGGGTCAGTCACAAGCTCTGGCACAGCTGTCCTTGAAAAAGAGCAGCTATTGGAGGCCAGTTCTCTCAGCCCCACCCACCTTACAGGGTGTCTGTTGTGGGGAGGGGAAGGGAAAGGAGTCTATAAGCCGCTCTGAGACTCCAAGTGAAGGGCGGTGTATAAATCCAATCTATTATTATTATTATTATTATTATTATTATTATTAAAGACAGAATTAGCAGGCACATTGATGAACAAAAGCTATTGAGAAAGAATCGGCATGGATTCTGTAAAGGAAGATCTTGTCTCACTAACCTGTTAGTGTTCTTTGAGGGGGTGAAAACACATGTGGACAAGGGTGACCCAATAGATGTTGTTCACCTAGACTTCCAGAAAGCTTTTCATAAAGTTCCTCATCAAAGGTTCCTAAGTAAACTCAGCAGTCATGGGATAAGAGAACAAGTCTTAAAGGTAAAGGTTTCCCCTGCTCGAAAGCCAGTTGAATCCG